CACATCACTGACCCTATGCACATTCAATAACTGAGAGAAGTATTTTCTCCACCCATTCAAAATGTTGTGGGAATCTGCAAACAGATCACCATTCTCATCCTTCACTAAGTTACTTCTAGGTTGGTAACGCCTCTTTAAAGTCATTTATTCCTCTATACAGTTCTCTAGTATACTTGTTCTTGCTGTTCATTGCCAGCTCATCAATTTCGTCTTTCAGATATTCCCTCTCTTTATTTCTGACATGCCTGCTGGTTTCACGTTTTATATTTTTCAGATTATCCCTATTTATTTCGCTTGGATCGTGTGACTATTGCAGTCTGGCTTGTTTTCTTTGGTCTAGTAATTCTGAGCATCCTTCATCGAACCATAGCTTATGCTTCTTCAGGTCATAATAATCTAGACTCTTTGGCAGACATTTTTATATTCTCTCTAATAGTTTCCCAAGCTTTATTAACATCCACCTCAGTGACTAGTTTTCCAAAGCCGCGAATCTATTTGAGATTCCAACACGATACTGCTCTTTACCCTCTCATCATCATCATCACCAGTAATCTGTCAAGACGACAGGTCCACAGTCTCTTCCAAAACAGTTCCTCCACTTACTGCGATCTAGAGCTTTCTCCTTCAAATGACAGTATCCTCTTCTGTCCCCAAGGTCATCCAGCATCTTCTTACGTCTTCTTCCTCGTCTTCTTGTCACTTCTATCCGCCCCTCTATCTTTCCTTCAATAACTTCTTTTAGAAGGCAGTTACCGCGTAAGATATGACCAATCCAATTAGCCTTCCGTTTTCTTATTTCTTGTAGGATATTCCTCTGCTCACTGACTCTATATAACACTTCTTCATTTCTCACATAATCGGTCCAACTGATCTTCTCCATCCTTCTCCAACACCACATTTCGAAACTTTCCAGATGTTTCTGATCTACTGCCCTAAGTGTCCATGTTTCAGCCCCATACAGAGCTATGCTCCAAATGTAGCATTTCACTAGTTTCTTCCTCAAATTTAAGTCCAATTTGCTGGTAAAAAGATTCTTCTTCTTGCTAAATGCAGCTTTTGCCATGGCAATCCTGGATTTAATTTCACAAGTACACCTTCCATCATCTGTTAACAAGCTACCCAAATATTTAAAACATTTCACATTCTCCAGTTGTTTTTGGTCTATCTTTATTGTGACTGGGGTTGGTTGTCTCGAAATTTTCATTACTTTTGTTTTCTCCACATTCATTTCCATGCCATAGCACCTTCCAATTTCAATTAGTCTATCAATCATGCCCTGTAGCACAGTTTCTTCCTTAGCCATTAACACAAGGTCATCTGCATATTTCACAGTTTGAATAATTTGCCCTCCTACTTTGAAGTCACCGAGCCCATCCAGAGCTTCCTTGGTAAGGCATTCGCTGTACAAGTTGAACAGAATTGGTGATAAACAGCATCCTTGTCGAACTCCTCTTCCAATCTGCACACTTCCTGTCTCCCCCCTGTCCAGTCGTACTCTAACTTTCTGATCCATGTACAATTTGCTAATCAATCTTCTTTCATGCCAATCGATACCTGTTTCTTTCAGGATCTGCATTAATTTGGTCCAGTTTACCCGGTCAAATGCCTTCTGCCAGTCTATGAAGCAAACACACAGTTCTTCATCTATCTCCAAAGTTCGTTCCGCTATAATTCTCATCATCCCAATTGCATCCCTGGTTCCTTTTCCTCTTCTAAATCCAAACTGATCTTCTCCAAGTACATCCTCTATTTTCCTTTCAATTCTTCTTTTAAGTATCTTTGCTATTATCTTTGCTGTATGTGCAATAAGACTTATTGTGCGATGGTCGCTGCATTTGGTGGCTTTTGTCTTTTTCTTTAAGGCAATCATTGTAACTTCTGTAAAGTCCTTGGGCCACTCTCCACTTTCATATATGGTGTTCACCTCATTTAATTTCTTGAGACTGAACCTCTCCATATGAACTCTGTGTGTTGTTTGTTTGCTCAATGCCAGTCTTTCCCTAACCTTTGCCACCACCAGGTAGTGGTCAGTATCACAATCTGCTGCCCTGAATGATCGGACATCAAGTACACTTGAGTGCCGTCTCCTATCTATCAAAATATGGTCTATTTGATTGTGTATCTTCCCATCAGGAGATGTCCAAGTAAATTTATGGATGTTACGATGTGGGAACATTGTACTTTACTACTCTAACTCCATTATCATTATTAATTTCACGCAAATTCTCATTCCCAGTCGTTGGTTTCAAAATGTCTTCCATCCTTACTTTGGCATTGAAATCTCGTAGCAAAATTTTCATAGGGTACTTCGGGAATTTATCAAATACATGTTCCAGTTCTTCATAGAACCTGTCCTTTATGTCATAAATTTTATCTTCTGTTGGGCCGTGAACATTCATAACGATGATATCACACGAGCCACCTTTTAGTATTATATATGACATCCTATCACTAAGGAATTCTACCCTCTTAACTGCTGATACGATTCTCTTATGTACGAAAAAACCTGTACCTAATTCATGATTTTCATTCTCCTTTCCATAGAAAAATGTATAGTCTCCTGCTGGTGCGATGCCACCTCCGTCCCATCTGACCTCCTCTACACCCGCTAAATCTAACTTATGTTTTGAGATTTCTTCTGCCACTGCCCTGAGCGAAACTGCCTTGTACAAACTCCGAACATTCCAAGTGCCAAATCTCATATCCATTTTCATTAGCTTAGGTCGTTTATCCAAGGAATCCGTCGAGGCCCGAGGCCTTGTGTTCATTTTCGTAACAAAGTAATTTTTACGGTGAGGAGTTGTCAGCCCCACGCCCAACCCCCAAGCTGGAGGACCACCCCTTATCGGCTGCCCGCGACTGCTTATTCAATATATTCGCAGCTTTCCTCCATCCGCAACCTGACGACGCGCCATGCCGTGGTGACAAGGGACCAAATACGAATGAAAAAAACCTTGAAAAAAACTCCAATAATGTATTGGCGTTTCAAATAATACCTTTCTATCTGCAAACACAGGAACTTCAAAACAGATGTAAAATCGCAAGCAGTGTATCAGGAAATTCTGTGTAGGCTTGCTCCAGAATTGTGTCTATCTCCGCATTCTTCTTGTAACGTCGCTCGATCACCTCGGGCTAATGACCTTTACTTTCGTAACCACAACACGTTTCATGTTCCAAACTACTTCATTTACTTTTACAACCAGGCACAACTAAAATATGCCACTGGATTGTTACGTTATTTGTTGGTTTCCAGTCGGGGCGTCTCAATGAGTACAGCGAACAGGCTACAGGCTGACACCCGCGGAGTCTGACTCGGATTCCCGGTGGAAGCAAAGATGTTACCTTCACCACGGTGTCCAGCCCGGCTCTTCAGCCCACCCAGCCTCATTGCTCGGGAGTAAAGCAGCCGGGACTAGAAGTTCTCCACTCGCATGCATTTGGGGACGAAGTTAAGCATGTGTGGAGTTCCACTGTCCCACGTCTTAACAGCCGTCTAAGTAACTGACTGACTGACTGACTGACTGACTGACTGACTGACTGACTGACTGACTACACGCACACGGAGCTGAGTCCCCGTTGAGAAGCCGACAGCTCCTCAACCACTCAAGAAAATCCCAGCATTTTCTGGAACCCGAAGTTTCTTATACATGAAAGGCTTCGCGGAAAATTTAATGTCAGCTATTACTTCACATGAAGTTAATACCTAATTTTATGTTGTTGTTTTTTGCCAACAGATTGTCTTATAAGCAGCTGGCAAGTAACCTAAATATAGACCTTACAATGCTTCGACATCGTCACAGCTTCACAGTGTGAACTGCATCACTGTGCTGTATAGTAAACGTGGAGTTCCCAGAATAACGGTTTTCTGCAGGGATGCCATCCAGATGTTGTGCAAGTCGTATCCCTTTGAGCCAGCAACTACTGCATCATTTCATATTGCATACATTGCACTTCCGTATTTGGAAATCTTTCGGCTTCCCTTTTTAGAACGTCCACTTCTTACGGAATACTCGCATTGTTACATCACAATGCACTGCCACTTGTCAGGCCTACGTTTAAATGTGTTGCTGAATGCAGCTGCAAGAAGAACACAGCTTCCGGCGTCGAAGGGTACGGTGACTAGTGAAACACGAATTTGAAACAACTGGAATGAACCGGCCTCTGTCTAATCTGACAGGGAATCGGAAAAACCACGAAAAAATGGCCATAAGAGTAGGTTTCCTAATAATATTCGAACCGGGCACCTCAGGAATACAACTCTGAAACGTTACGTTTCGAGTGGGCAGTGTCAGTGTTGACTGAATTCATCTGGCTCAAGACAGTGTTGGTGGCAGACTTTTGCGAACAAGGCAATGAATTTTTGGGTTCCATAAGAAGCAGGGCATTCTTGACAAGCGACGCGACTGTCGGTTTCTCAAGTAAAATTTTACTCCACGGAGTTAGTTAGTTAATTAGTGCGTGAATAGGTTGGCTGTTAGTGTCTGAATAAATGCAGAAATCATCAATGGCGATTGGTGGTCAACGTTACCAGGATGAGTGAAATATAATGGACTAGGGATCTTGCTCCAGGCTTCCCCTGAGAGCGTGTATTTGTATATTTACACAAGCTTTTAAAGATGTCCCGTTCTTCTGTCTGGTTCATTTAAGAAATAGATGTACTTTCAAACAATCGATAAAAAATATTGCTCCTTATTTTTGTAGTTTTCTGGACTTTGTCCATCGTCTTGGGTTTCCAAACTGAATATGTGTATGTTTCGGAAACAGGGTAAGTTTCCGTCTTCAGATCCGATAGATCGAGCTACTCTCGGGCGCAACGACTCAGATTAGTTCGGTCTCTCGGATCCATCTGATAAAGCACTTTCCCATCTTATCACCTGAGGACGGAGAGAGAACCTGTGTCCGAAACGTGACGGTCTAAGCACAGAAACCAGCAATATTAATCGCAATATCATAAGAACACTTCAGAATGAATATGCACAGCCAAGATGCCCTGTCTGTACCTGTAGCTGCAGCAGGACCTCATCATGCGCACGCTGCAGGTCACTGGCTTCCTTCAGACTGGCACCAAGTTTCGTCAGTTCTGGATGAACCTCCAGCACCTTGAGCTGCAACCACTCTCGACTCTGGAAGAGACAGAAACCGGCAATGATAACACTGCACACACCCAATCCTCAAGTATCCCCCGATTCCATTTGTATCCACTTTTGTCTTTGTCTCGCGGTAGCGTAGTTGGTTGAGGCACTATGCTACACAAGCCCGAAGGTCGTGGGTTCGAATCCAGATGAGGTGGGTTTTTTTTTCGATTTATCTAAACCCTCCAGCCGCACTATGGTCCTGGGTTCGACTCAGCCTCTAACAGAAGTGAGCACCAGGATCTTCCTGCGGGAGTAAAGGGCGGCCGGTGACAACCTTACCGCCATGAGTGAGCTGACTGTCTAGAGAAAATGTGGGAGCCTCGATGCCTCACAACCCTCTGGGCCTCCCCGATCTGTTACACGCATAGCTTTACCTTTTACCTTATTCACTTTTGTCAACCGTGGTTTCTGGTTTTGTGGGTCGGTGGTTATAAATTGATGTGTGCACATGTAAACATCTCTGAGGCACAAAGAGGGTAGGCACAAGCAACATCAGCAATGCCGTGATAATCATAACGGATTTTAGTTTGAAGTAGTTTTGGGAGGGGTTAATTTCTTGGGGTGGGGTGCAACTGAGTCCACTCGGTACGTCGGCCACAAATTGGCCTCTTGTACCAGCCCCTGATGATAGATGACGATGATGACGAATGTGGAGCAGTCGGTGGGATGAAAATTGGCAGGGGAAACATAATAACTCGGAGAAAACCTGCTCTAGAGCCACTTTGTCCACCACAAATCCCACATGACCAGACCCGGGCTCGAACCCGGGCCGCCGCGGTAAAAAACCAGCGACTAACGGCCTGCGCCATAGTGCGGCCTCTGTTCAGTTCGTAGTAACCTTACAAGAACAAATTTGATTATTTTACTGCTTTAATTTGTATGTTACCCCGACATGTGCGGCCTATTATATTATAACATGTTACTGCGTACTATTGTGTTTGGGGAAAACAGAAAACTCAAGACTTCAATAACAGCGGTTGCAGTCCCCCTCCCCCCATAATGTCCCCTAAGGCAGCGCGTTTGCTAATGCGCTTCATAATGTGACACAGTAAAATCTCTTTATGTGGGTAGGAGTCAGAACGTGCAACATAAAATCTCTCTCATTGCAGAATCAACATCACCTCCACAACAAATCACATTCTAGCAAACGAGTTAGGAACGTGCAGTATAACCATGACGCGCCACACCTGATGTAGTGGAAGTGTCAGTTCATGAAACTAAACCATGGCACTGGAATGTGGAGGAAATAACACGCAACTGCACACACCGAACTATGGCGTGAGATTTGAAGTTTCCACGGTATCGAATATGGACACTGCGGTCTGGTAGATATTTACCGACGTTTCGGTAAAATCGGCAGTCTTCATCTTCGAGACAGATTACTGTCTTGTAATATACGACATCGTGCAGCATGGTAAATAAACACAAACAGCATGACGTCACATCTAGGAACTTCCGAACAATGGTTGTATGATAATTAGATTGTGGTGCGGAGAAAAGGGCATTACTTAATTTCATAGTCGCTCTGGGCCATTCGAGCGACAATTAGCTCAAGAAGAACTGTGTTCGATGTAGTCCATCAGTTACTGCACGCCAAAGTATCTGAGAAGTACCACACCCACGTGAGAGCGGGACCAGTGCTGCAGATACGATGAGCAGGACGGTATCTATTTGTATACGTCACGAAATGCATGCGATGTTCATTTGTTCACGCAACAGAATCCACTGAACTGTATAATCTTGGCATACTAATGCTCACTCTGTCATCCACAAAACAAATGACAATAAATCCGGAAGCATCCCCTTCCAGTCCCCCACCCCTCACGTCACTTATGCATGTCTCTAAGCTAGTCTTATTTTAAGACTAAGCAACTCTAAGGCTCTTTTCACACTATACGGTTTTGACCGCACGGCAAAAACTCGAACGGCGACATTCTTTCAGTGGAGTGAAGAAGAGCATGGCCCCTTTCACATTACACGGTGACGGCAAAATGCCGTCCGGGTGCCGTGCAGNTGTAGTCCGTAAGCGAACTATACCGACCGAGAGACCGCCGCTTGTCGGCGAAGTTAGTGCCAACTTTAGCGGATACAGGGTGTCGCGTTGTCAGCGCATCAGATCCCCACAGCCATTAATCTCGGTCTTCTAGACCGAAGCCGCTATTTCCTTCAAATATTTCCTCAATTATCCTAACTAGGCGGAGTGGACCCCGTTCGAGACCCACTACTTCTCAGAAAATCTGATAGCGCCGGGAATCGAACCCGGGACCTCTGACCACTAGACCACAGAGGCGGTCAATCTAACATATGTATAAGTACGCATGAAAGTCGCGATAGCTCAGTCGGTATAAATTTTACCTTTGCTTTAAATCTAATAGCATGAACACGTTTCGTACATCCACTATCCTCTGTGTAAACTCGGCTTTCATCCTGTGACTTTTTACAGAGGTAAAGTAGCTAATGACACCAGACCGTGTGGATGTTATGCAGCCGGTAAAGTATGTAAAGGAGTTGCTACTGCCCTACAGAGGTGCCGTGATAGCGCAGTCGGCATAGTGACTGAGGGGTCGGAGTTCGAGTCCTGGTAGGGTCAAGGATTTTCTCTTCTCCACGTCGTCCAGACCAGCTCTGGGGCCCACCCAACCTCCTATGCAATGGGTACCGGGGGCTCCTTCCCAGGTGGTAAAGTGTCAGGGGGTGAAGCTGACCACTCACCTCCAACTAGTGCAGAGGTCAAGAAAACGTGGAACTCTATATCCACTCCCCAATACGCCTTCATGGCGTAACGCTTAATTAGTTAAGCACAGGGGCAAATTTACTTTTATTCCTCTTAACACCATTCTCCAGAAACTCTGTATTTTCTTTACCCCACAGCTGCTTCTCTAATGCTGATGGGATATTTTCTTTTTCCTTGGCACTACAGTCCCAGTGGGCCTAGGCCTACCTCCATGAACTCCGTTCACTTCGGTTTTTCTAGATCTTACACATACGGTAGGACTCCTTGGGCGAGTGATCAGCTCGTCGCAAGGCCTCTACCTGTAGACAAACACAGAAAAACGCACACAAACATCCATGCCCTGAGTGGGATTCCAACCCACGATCTCGGCTTCCGAGCGAGCGAAGACAGTGCATGCCTTAGACCGCTCAGCTACCGTGACCGGCGCTGATGGGAATACTGTCTCTTAATATTCAATGTCTTCTTACTCGCCTTTTCTTCTGTATTGCACTGTAAAGTTAGCTTATTAGGTGTGAAGCTGGCCAATGGTATCATTTACACAAACACATTAGTAATCCTACACACATGCCTAGCCAATTGCAACCTCAGTATTTCACCGCGCTACATTACCTCCGCCAGGATTTGTCAAGGACACTACTGATTTATATGGTCAACTCCATGGCAATCTCAGAATAAATATTTAATTATTAGAGTAGGCAAAGAGTTACACCCTGCTTTACCTGTTTCAAAGTCCTCATTATACAATAAAGTATATAATGACTTTGAAAACGGATATCGGGTATATAACTGCCAGCTGGAACTAAAACAGAGATTCTCGGTTACTAACCACACTAAGGCATCGTGGATTACGTAACGTGTTGCAAGCAGGAGATACTCCAATGTCTCCAGCATGTTGTTTCCATCTTGTATCATGCTTACAGCAATTCGTCTCTTAAGAAAGTTATACATTTTTACGAAAGTACACATCTGACACATGTTCAGTTTAATGTACTTAACTGCGCATTATACTGCTAGAGCACGCAATGCGGTTCATGCGCACATATGGCTGCACTCTGTTGAAAAGCACTCTGATGTCAGAGACGAGGAAAATTTAAATTTTTAGGATAATTTGACAAAATAAAAAAGCGATATGTACAGGCCATGTCCGTCCGTCAGTCTGTGTGTAATCTATTATCAATGACTAAACCACTGGATATATATTCCTGAAATTCAATATGGCTTTCACTGAAAATGATCTGGTGTTCATTATATTCAGCCACAATGATCCAAAATAAATTTTGGTTTACATAAGCATAGTAATGGACCTTCCCACGTTTCCCAAGAACTGTCCGACAGATACTGCTGCAATTCTATATGGAAGACCATCATCAAAAGTTGATGTACAAATTCGATTTTAATCTATACTGATCCAAAAATAATGCCTAGTATACATAAGATCACAAATGGATTTGTAAATGTATCCAATAAAATGTTTCACAGATTTTCTTAACATTCGATGTAGGAGACTTTCACAAAACGATGTCGGGTAAGTCGGAGTTTTAGATACGTGTATATCCACCCACAATGAAAGCCAGTGTACTAAATGGAGTAGTTCTGCCCCTTTTCCAATCCTGCTTACAAAGTTATGTTCCGGGAAACTTTGTCTAAGAGATACACAAAAACTGTGCGTAGCAAACTGGTCATCTTAATAACAGGGTGTCTGGTGCCGGGTCCTGTGCCCAGTCCGCAAGCCATTAGGCGAAACTCACAGGAACTCACTTTTGTTTCGTCCACATGTGAAATACGCCAAGAAATCGATTCAACACAACAGCTGTTACGTCATTACAATTCTTATAAGACATTATTCTTAAAACAAATGAATAACAGCAGGCCCTAAACTCCTTCACTTGATACACGTATTTACATTATCTGGACTCCGTGGTCTGTAGTCCCCAAGCGAACTATACCGACCGAGCGACCGCCGCTTGTCGGCCAACTTTTGCGGGCAGAGGGTGTCACGTGGTCAGCTCAACGAATCCCCCACGGCCGTTAATTTCGGTCTTCTAGACCGGAGCCGCCATTTCCTTGAAATAGCTCCTCAATCTTCCTCCAGAGGCTCAGTGGACCCCGTTCGAGACCCACTACTTCTCAGAAAATTTGGTAGCGCCGGAAATCGAAGCCGGGACCTCTGGATCTGTAGCCAGGAACTCTGACCACTAGACCACAACTGAACACCTACATTAATTACCACTATAAGGAAGACTACATTCAATGA